GAGTTCCCAAACATTATGATGGGATTATTTTCTCTAAAATATTGAGGAAATTCAGTTATCCTTACTGACGTCTACAGTGGCTTATATCACACTAACAGATGAGTTTGTTCATTAACCTGAGATGTCTGTATTTCTCTCACAGCAGTTAAACTGAACCTCTCTTATTCTTATATTCCTCTTCAGAAGAAAGCAAAAACAGATGATAAGGATGGAGAAAACACCTCGCTGAGGACTGAAGGAGAGTCAGGGGGTTTCGGCACGACCGATTACAGTTTTAGAACTGATGGCTCTCAGATTTCTTCATCTCTACTTTACTCTCACCTGCCTTCTGAAACCCTGAGCCGAGCCGAGAGCAGCAGCGCCTCCCGCAGGCCTCTGACCGCCTTAGAGAGCCTGATGGGTCATCCTCAGAGAAACACACTGGACAGGGACAGAGTCACGACCAGCAGATACACCTCACATTCCACACCATAAGAAACACTTACACAAATGATTTTTTGGATTAGAGTGCTGCAGGGATGACTTACTTTTGTAGGTTGAAGCGGGTTCTCTTGACAAAAACGCAATAGAAAATATTGCAGAAAATAAGCTCTGTGACCAACTAGAGTTTATGATTCTTACATGAAAACCTTTACAGATGAACATGTGTTTTATGAATTTTAAAGCTTAATTACAACTAAATGTTGGCTATAAATGAACTACAACATCATGTTACAAACATACATGTTTTATTAATCATTTAACCCACATTAGTTTTCATTGTTGTTTACTTAATAATCACTGCAATTATCAATCATTCATGTTTTTATGCCAATGCAGTTCATCTGAAAATGATTCACAGGAGTGTCTTTATGTGCTGGAATAATCAGTACCTGAGAGCGTTTATGGAGCAAATGACGTGCATGAAAACCACACCTAGATACTTTCCTGAAGCGCCTCGGGCGGGGGCTGTTTTTAGAGAAGTTCATTTGCTTTGAACATAATTTTCTTTCTGGAGGATTTTGGAAACACAAAATGACACTAAAATATCTTCCAATAAATAAAATCAGGGGTATGTGTGTTTATTTCAGCAGGGTCCACTTGTCTTATTGAACATTTAAGCATTTGGCAGACACTTTTATCCACAGTGACTTACAATGCATTCATTTTATAAACTCAATATTTATCACATTAATCACACATAAGTACATGAAACTGAAACAGCTAAAGATCATTTATAATGTTAAATGAGTAGTTCCAGTATGTTTCACTGGAGAAATCAATATTATGGATAGAGGACCTGTAATTTAGCTGGAAGCAATGGTTTGAAGTTAAAAAAGCTCCCCAGTGGATGCTCTGCAGTGAATGGGTGCCGTCAGAATGAGAGTCCAAACAGCTGATAAAAACATCACAATAATCCACAAGTAATCCACAGCACTCCAGTCCATCAGTTAACATCTGGAGAAGACAAAAGCTGAAACAAATCCAGCATTAAGACGCTTTTAACTTCAAACCGTTGCTTATGACTAAAATATGAGTCCAGTTACATGAATAAACTAATGTAAAATAGCATTGCATAGTCTTCACTGCACAAATAAAATTTAGACTAATCCTTGTTAAAACTACAAAGGAGCAATGAGTCATTTTCTCTCTCTCTCTCTTTTTCTTCTTCTTGGATTAACATTAAGGACACCGACAGCAGCTAGTAAATTAGGCGCGGTGACTTTAAGACACACTTCATGGATCCAATATAATGATAAACATCTTTCTCAACTGTTTATGTTCACTTAAAACATAACCGATATTTTTCGAGGATACTCACCAAGACGGGTATTGACATAATTTAGTATGTATTTGTCCATTAAAGCACAAGACGACGCAAAAAAGAACTCAATTCAGTACTGGCGTGCTGTTTTTGTGTGCATACTGTGCACAGAGAGCCTCGTCTCTGACAACAACCGGAGCTTGCTCATAAACGGACAAATACGTCTTACCAATTTGAACATTCAAGTGATTTTAATCCTTTCAAGAGTGTGCAACAAGATTTAATTCAGTGCTCGCATGCTGTGTTCTGAATTGAGTTCTTTCACGGCCTCTTGAGCTTGAATGCTTTAAAATCGCTTAAATGTTTAAACAGGCAAGGTTTAAAAACAAATGCAAATGACGCGCTGTCTTTCACGCTGACCACGGTTCCCGTTACCACATATATAATATATATTATATTATATAATCATCACCACCTATCTCCCAACTAGCGACGGCCCTGAGTGATGCAATGCTACATTTCTCCAAATCTGATGAAGAAACAAACTCATCTACTTCTTGGATGGACATTGTCCACAAATTTTCATTTTTGGGTGAACTGTTCCTTTAAAGGCTGCATCTACACTAGATAAATCACTGTACCAACACAACTCTGGGAACCACAGCCTGTAGTGAGTCACAGATCAAGAATGATCAGAGATACACCTGCGTTTGGGCAAAAATGGCTCATCATTTTGACCGTTTTAACAAAAGCATTGTACTAAAGCAGGACCACCCATATGAGACACACCCAAAAAACTCTCCAAACTGACGTGAGAAGACCAGACTGAGCTGGTGGGGGAAGTGGTTAAACATAAACTGGTTTTGTTGGTTAATCCTGTTTGTGTCAAAGCCTATTTTAATTTTTAAAAAAAAAGTATTTAGGTCATTGTTCACATTAACATTAGTGCTAGTAATAGTTGGGAAAATTTAGTCAATACTAAATGTGTGTGTGTGTGTGTGTGTGTGTGTGTGTGTGTGTGTGCGCGCATGTGACCAACTAGAGTTTATGATTCTTACATGAAAACCTTTACAGATGAACATGTGTTTTATGAATTTTAAAGCTTAATTACAACTAAATGTTGGCTATAAATGAACTACAACATCATGTTACAAACATACATGTTTTATTAATCATTTAACCCGCGTTAGTTTTCATTGTTGTTTACTTAATAATCACTGCAATTATCAATCATTCATGTTTTTATGCCAATGCAGTTCATCTGAAAATGATTCACAGGAGTGTCTTTATGTGCTGGAATAATCAGTACCTGAGAGCGTTTATGGAGCAAATGACGTGCATGAAAACCACACCTAGATACTTTCCTGAAGCGCCTCGGGCGGGGGCTGTTTTTAGAGAAGTTCATTTACTTTGAACATAATCCTCTTTCTGGAGGATTTTGGAAACACAAAATGACACTAAAATATCTTCCAATAAATAAAATCAGGGGTATGTGTGTTTATTTCAGCAGGGTCCACTTGTCTTATTGAACATTTAAGCATTTGGCAGACACTTTTATCCACAGTGACTTACAATGCATTCATTTTATAAACTCAATATTTATCACATTAATCACACATAAGTACATGAAACTGAAACAGCTAAAGATCATTTATAATGTTAAATGAGTAGTTCCAGTATGTTTCACTGGAGAAATCAATATTATGGATAGAGGACCTGTAATTTAGCTGGAAGCAATGGTTTGAAGTTAAAAAAGCTCCCCAGTGGATGCTCTGCAGTGAATGGGTGCCGTCAGAATGAGAGTCCAAACAGCTGATAAAAACATCACAATAATCCACAAGTAATCCACAGCACTCCAGTCCATCAGTTAACATCTGGAGAAGACAAAAGCTGAAACAAATCCAGCATTAAGACGCTTTTAACTTCAAACCGTTGCTTATGACTAAAATATGAGTCCAGTTACATGAATAAACTAATGTAAAATAGCATTGCATAGTCTTCACTGCACAAATAAAATTTAGACTAATCCTTGTTAAAACTACAAAGGAGCAATGAGTCATTTTCTCTCTCTCTCTCTTTTTCTTCTTCTTGGATTAACATTAAGGACACCGACAGCAGCTAGTAAATTAGGCGCGGTGACTTTAAGACACACTTCATGGATCCAATATAATGATAAACATCTTTCTCAACTGTTTATGTTCACTTAAAACATAACCGATATTTTTCGAGGATACTCACCAAGACGGGTATTGACATAATTTAGTATGTATTTGTCCATTAAAGCACAAGACGACGCAAAAAAGAACTCAATTCAGTACTGGCGTGCTGTTTTTGTGTGCATACTGTGCACAGAGAGCCTCGTCTCTGACAACAACCGGAGCTTGCTCATAAACGGACAAATACGTCTTACCAATTTGAACATTCAAGTGATTTTAATCCTTTCAAGAGTGTGCAACAAGATTTAATTCAGTGCTCGCATGCTGTGTTCTGAATTGAGTTCTTTCACGGCCTCTTGAGCTTGAATGCTTTAAAATCGCTTAAATGTTTAAACAGGCAAGGTTTAAAAACAAATGCAAATGACGCGCTGTCTTTCACGCTGACCACGGTTCCCGTTACCACATATATAATATATATTATATTATATAATCATCACCACCTATCTCCCAACTAGCGACGGCCCTGAGTGATGCAATGCTACATTTCTCCAAATCTGATGAAGAAACAAACTCATCTACTTCTTGGATGGACATTGTCCACAAATTTTCATTTTTGGGTGAACTGTTCCTTTAAAGGCTGCATCTACACTAGATAAATCACTGTACCAACACAACTCTGGGAACCACAGCCTGTAGTGAGTCACAGATCAAGAATGATCAGAGATACACCTGCGTTTGGGCAAAAATGGCTCATCATTTTGACCGTTTTAACAAAAGCATTGTACTAAAGCAGGACCACCCATATGAGACACACCCAAAAAACTCTCCAAACTGACGTGAGAAGACCAGACTGAGCTGGTGGGGGAAGTGGTTAAACATAAACTGGTTTTGTTGGTTAATCCTGTTTGTGTCAAAGCCTATTTTAATTAAAAAAAAAAAAGTATTTAGGTCATTGTTCACATTAACATTAGTGCTAGTAATAGTTGGGAAAATTTAGTCAATACTAAATGTGTGTGTATGTGTGTG